TGGTATCCTGGTATCCCGAGGTGAAGGTGTAAGGGTCCGGCAAACGACAGAGGAAGAGACCACCAAGAGACGGACTCATGCAACAGCAGAAGGGGGTTTATTGAGGATCCAGCGCCCTGGGGCTCCATGCTCACTCAACAAGGGAGAGCGGCCCAGAGCCCTGAGCAAGGGTTGAGCAGTGCCTAAGTACACTTTTTTAGGGAGAGCAGGGACTTTACATACATCACAGTCTCCTTTAACAAATCACCACACACCACGGGAAAATCAAACAACAATTCTCAAACATGATTAGTACATTATTGGCAGGAACAGGTCGGGCGGGAGTGATAGGTCAGTCCTAAGGAGGGGATACATCCAAACTGATTGGTTTAGGCCCCGGAGTGCGTACGGGCTGAGCTGCTCGGGGTCCGGGTTATTAAACAACTAGGTAGTCAAGGGGTGAATCCGACACACATCTAATGGACAGTTCTGGGAATTGTCTTAACTGCCACAGGAATTTCAGGCTTTGAGTGCAGTTTAGAAACTTTATAATACCTAGTCCTTTACATTTTAACTCAGGCTTTGCAGCTTAGAAGCAGCTTTACAATGCCTGGTCCTTTACACTTTAACTTCAATTTCTTTTACTCTTTCAAAGGGTTTATCTTTTTTATATGTTCTAGGCTTCCTTTGTTCTTCCACTCTCTCCCCCTTCTCTCTCTCCTTCCTGTATAGTGACTAGGCCCAGCAAATGCTCGGTGGGATGGCCAAAAGGTGATGAACAGCTGGGCTAAAGGGGCAGGGGAGGAGTGATAGGGCAGGAAGGGGGTGAAATTAACAACTCCCTGTAGGGAGTGACAATCCCCAGGACAGGTTACCTTTGCAACAGGTTGGAGCAGTGTCAATTTATCTTTGTTTTGTTTTGTTTTGGTACCAGGGATTGAACTCAGGGGCACTCAACCACTGAGCCATATCCCCAGCCCTATTTTGTATTTAGAGAGAGGGTCTCACTGAGTTGCTTAGCGCCTTTTCATTGTTGGGGCTGGCTTTGAACTTGAGATCCACCTGACTCAGCCTCCAGAGCCACTGGGATTACAGGCCTGTGCCATCTACCCCGAAGTTTATCTCGATAGGGTGGAGGAAGGGCTCTGAAAGCATTTCAATCTCTCAGGGGGCAGTCTCCAACTTCCCAGAGTCACTCAAAGTGGCCTCCTAGATCCAACCTGACTTGATTTACCAGGCTTCAGCATCTGAGGGGAGTTCCATCTTTTTTCCTCTCATTCAAGGCTAATTTTATTTCTTTCATTTTTGTCCTCTGCCATCATCCATAGATTACATTCTTTGAATCCATAAGACAAGAAGAACCCAGAAAGAAAATCCATGAGGGCCTAGAGCCATATAGATTTCATTTTTCTCAAACTCCAGTTTTACTCCCATGAGCAAAGGGTGGCTGGAAAGCAGAGTAGAGGCCAGGTCCTCTTTGCCCATTTCACTATAGACCAGGCAGCTTTCCTGAGATTTCCCCCCCCCCCCTCATCCCAGGACTGGTGTCCCTGACCCAAAGCAGGATGATTTGCAGCTGCTTGGAGCCAGGCTGAGAATAGCACTCAGACTGTAAGCAATGGGTTGAAAGTGTTAGATATGGAACATGAAAACAAAACAAAACAAGATGGTGTGGCCTGGGGAGAGGGAGTGAAAAAGAAAGCCGAACATTGATAGCTTTTATGTCTTTCAAGATAAATCCTTTTCAGATGCTGGCCACAGGTGGGGTGATAGTGTTCCATCATCAAACCTAGAACTAGAGTCTCTGGGAAGCTTTAATCTCTTTCAAGGTAAATCCTCTCCAGGTGCTGGCCACGGACCCCCAACCACAAACCCAAACTCCTGAGTGCCAAACTGACACGCTCACTAAATCACCTCTCAGTATAACCTGTATAAGCCCAAACTCCACCTCTGGCCACGGCCGTGTCCTGATTTGTCGTCAGCTCTCAAAAAGTTCACCTTCCGTCTTCAGCATGGAAGTGTGGTTGCTTGGAGTGCCAGGCCTGCCCAAGAAAGCCAGAGTGAGGGCTGTTCTAGAGTCCCACCTGGGGTACAATTTTTGCTACCGAAATTTTGGTCCTTGTCTTTGATGCCAATTCATGCCAATTTAATACTGAGGACATGGTTTTGAGAAAAAGGGAAAAAAAGGTTTATTGCTTTGATGACAAAAGAGAAACACAGGGGACTTCTGTCCCAAAGGCTGTGATTCTGCCCATCAGGAGGAACAGAGGGATTTTAAAGAAACTTCAAGGGTTGCTTTCCAGGTGCGCTCTGGTATGGGATCTTGGATCCTCAGGCAGATAGCTGCATCCTGTGGTGGGTTTGTTAGGGGGAAGAAAAGAGAACCTGTCTCCCTAATCTTGTTAGCGAGGGGGAGAGGGGTAAAGAGAGAGACAGAGAAAAAAACACTTGTCCTTTTACTATCTATAGGTGGCCCATTCAGTCAAAAAAAAAAAAAAAAAAAAAGAAGGCTCCTTTAGCCTTTTAAAAATAAGCCTCGAGAAACAAGGGCTACATTCAAAAAGTGAAGTGGACCACTGCTACAGGAGTACATGTGTACCTGGCTACTTGTGCACTGCACCGGGCTACATAACTGAAATGTTACCAACGGCAGTGTGGCTAGCCAAAATCTTGTAATCTTACTAATCAGGTAAGATTCCATGAGGGTGTAGGAGCTCATTCTATCGAACTACTAGCCTGGGAACAGTTTCCTTGAAAGAGAATTATCTTGCACGAACACAACCTGGTGCCAGTCCTGCGATGTGTTCTCTGTGCAACCTCGCTTTCCATTTCTTCATTAATAGTAGTAGTGGCACCCTTTGCTGACAGTCAAGAATACTGTACTCTTTCAAAACTGAGCTTTTTAAGAATTTCGTTTCTTTTTAGAAATCTTTTTAGTTGTCAATGAACCTTCATTTTATTTATAATGCTGAGAATCAAACCAGTGCCACACACATGCTAGGCAAGGGCTCTACCACTGAGCCACCTCCCGCCCCACCCCATTTCTTCACGGTTTGATGAAAGGACAGAAGTGTTCTGGAGCCCCGGTTACTACTGCTGCAGTTGGGGGCTGGTGCTAGCTTTTATTCTGAGTTTGGATGGCAGAGATAATAGTACTCATCCTTTGAGAGAGAGAGAGAGAGAGAGAGAGAGAG